CGCTGGGCAGCAGCTGCACCGCTCGGGGGCGTGGCCAGGGCAGACACCGCACCGCCCTGACCCAGGGCCCCTCGCGGTCGCGGTCGGCAAGGCCGATGGTGGCGGGCAGCCAAGAACCAGTTCCCGTCGGGGCGGCTACCAATTCTGTGACCCGTCGGGAGGGAACTCACGTCCCGCAGGTTGACGTGGAGCACGGAGCTGATGTAGGTCGGCAGGTACGTGACGACGATGGTGCACAACCAGAAGTGGCTGAAAAACCCGGTGAAGATGGCCCAGAGTGGCAGGCACCGGACCATGGCCTTGATGGGGACAGACCGTCTGGGAGAGGTGGGCTGCGAGGAGACACCTGGTCGGCATGGGCATCGGACGCTGCCCAGGGCGCCTCGTCCGGGCCCCTCGCCCCGCCCACAGGGAGAAGGGGCGCCCTGTACCTGCTGAGCCAGCGAGGCCACGATGTGCTCCTTTTCCCTGACACTTATGCACGGGTGACGCACGGGGTCATCGTAAATCACCGTGAACCACAGGACACAGCAGCCGCAGCCGACGCTACCTGGAAGCGGGGACCCACTTGTCGGCAGGTGGACTCGTGAGCTGGGAGGGAGCCCCGCCCCCCCGGGCGGCGCACCTGCCGCGGGACACGCAGCCGCTCGCGTTTATCCCGCCACGAGGACCTAAATCCTCCCCCTTCTTCCTCTCGATTTTTCGACAAGCGTCCTTCTAACTAAAGCGCTCCAGACAGCACCTCGGACACACACTGCCACCTGTCCACGTCGGAGTGTGACGGGAGGTTACGCGAGCGTGAGTGTCACCGCACGGCTGGCGCGTGCTCTCGGCACTGCGGTGGTTCCCGCGTTACGAGTCGCTGGCAGCGGTTCCTTAATACACACATTACTGTCTCGTTTTGCAAAGATCTGAGTAACGAGGACAGAACAGAGCAGTCGCACGTGCACGGAGCAACGTGCTGTAATGTCAGCACTGCGAGAAAAAAGTCTCCGACTCATGTACGAAGGACAGCGGTGTTTGTGGCCGAGCAACACATCTGTCACCGTTTCCGGGAGAGACGTTTCCAGACAGTACTTGACTTACGTTCACGGACCAAATGACCCGGATTAGCGCCGTTAACGACAAAGCCAGCCTAGCCAGGACCGCGCTCAGAGACGCCACTGGTTATAACCACTGGACAGAAACGTGTCTGGTTGCCGAGCTGTGTCGTTTGAAGAAGGTTCTAAGTAAAGGACCCTGGGAACTAATGTTTCTCAAGGTCCCTCTAACGACCGGACTCATCCGTCGTCTGATTTGTGAAGCTGTAAGTCAGGAACTGTGATGGAGACAGAGGGGCGTCCAGTGTGACAATGGAGCCCCTAACGTGAGCACGTCACAGTCCAGTGGAGCAGAAGAAGGGGAAGACAATTACTCGCCAGCCGGCCCGGAGAGTACGTATCAGCAGCACCTCCGAGGGTGGAGACTGAACGCGTCCCGGAGTTCCCAGAGGGAAGGCACGTTTGAATCGAGCTCTGCAGGTTTCTTGTAGGGAGTAGGTTACTATTTCTCAGCAGAAATAGTAATTATAATGAAATACGAAGACACGTGTAAAGTGTTTAAAATGCACGTCCCCAACCTTGACATCTTAACCATGTGCAGAAAGAGACCTGGCATTTTGGACGGGCTGGTAGGGACCCCGCAGTGGACACCGGGGGCGAAAGGGTGAGGCCACCCCGATTCCTCGGGAGCCGGTGGCCTGCGTGGCTGTCTCTCAGGCCAGACTGAGACAGCTGCCACCCCCGAGCTCTGTGTCGCGTTCTGTTTGCTGCATTGGACGAGCGCCTGGGAAACGGGGGGTTGAGAGTAAGAGACAGCGGCTCACCGAAGATATAGAAGATGAATGGCCAGCCCAGGGCCTGTGAGATTAGTCCTCCCACGCAGAGGATGATGAAGGTCCCGAACGCTGCCCCTGGGGAGGAGAGGGAGAAAAAACACTCGCGAAAATAGCCGAGCAGCCTCCCTGGCATTGTCTGGGCGGCGAGGGGCACATGCGAGATCGGAGTCACAGTATGGTGGGTGCAGCGGGAGGTCGGGGACAGGAGAGACTCAGAGACAGGAAGAAACGGTCCCTGCCCTCAGGGACCTCAGTCCAGTTGAGGAGAGCGTGGGAACAAAACTGTCACAGCGCAACACACACAGACGCTGCTGTCTGAACGCATTTTATAGAGAGAGACCCACAGTACCGAGAGCATTTTACCTGGAAACACACACACACGCACACACACGCACACACACGCATGCACACACACACACACACACCAGCTCCAGCAACACGCGGACACCCCTCCAACAAGTTTCAAGCTTGGTACTTAGTACCCTGTGCTAAATATATATAATCTTATGTTCAATAATTAGAGACTGTATCTCTATGTTTCTATCTACTCAGCTATCAATCATCTATCTACCGATCTGTCTATTCTATTCTATCCTATCCTATCCTATCCTATCCTATCCTATCCTATCCTATCCTATCCTATCTTTAATACTCGTTTCCACTCACTTAACTGATCTTATGACCCCTCCTCCCCCATGCCGTGGGTCCTGATTTGAGAAGAAAGAAAAGGATGTCTTAGAATATAAATATGATAATAAAACTACGACGTGCTCTGGAGTACACACGCGCGGAAATGAAAATCGACGATAGTTTAGGAATTGTTCGCATGGGCTGAGCAGTGGGCTGGTTGGAATGTTGGAAAAAGAAGCTGGAGGCAGAGGACGTTCCAGGAAAATGAGCCAGCAGAGAGGGAGCCAGAAAGAAGCAGGGTGAGGTGCGTGCGTGGGGTCCCCGCTTACAGGAGGGGCTGCGTGGAGCAGGAGGGGACCACGTGGCCGAGCACCCGTGTATCCGGGCAACACGGAGGTCAGCCTTGCTCCGCAGTCACAGGGGGCCCCGCTGAAGATTGCCAAGCAGGTGAGCAAAGGGAGCTTTAGGGAGATAACTCGGCTACGGAGAGACGCTCAGAGGAAACGAAGCTGGAGGCCAGAGGGGACCAGCCGGGGGCAGGTGCCGCGGACGGCAGCGTGGGGGCTGCTTTGGTGTAAGTCTGCAGGGCACGGTGACGTGCGACCTGGCGCTCGCGGGGCTGGGGGGGACTCGCAGTCTGTTCTTCAAGTCGCACCTCAGGGCCATCGGCTGGCGAATAGTGATGATAAAGTCCCCGAGTTCTTAGTACGCGCACGCCCCGTGGTGGCCGACCACGTGTGCTCCCAGGCAAACTGCCGCGGCTCAGGTCTCAGTCCTACCACCCGATGGCTGTCACGCGGGGGCAGTTCACGTGACCTCTGCACACACCGATGTACACTTTGTAAAACGACCGTGCAAAGCAGCACTGACCTCGGAGGGCTGTGGGGCTCAGCTCAGGAGGCTGGAGCACCCGGGAGCTGTGAGCTCCTTCAGGGCCACGGTCCGGCCTGGCTTCTCCCGGGTCCGCCCTGAGTCCCGATACCTTAGTTCTCACTAGTACGCGTTTGCTGGGGTGCGCGGTCCACACGCACAGCGGACTCCATCTCCGCCATTCACGCAAACTCGCGAGGGTCCGCCCTGCTCCCCGCGAGGGCCCCGCGGCCGCAGCGCCCCGCGGCTGCCTCCGCGTCCGGGCCTCAGCGGCTCCAGCACAGATGCGCCCTTCCTACTTGCTATGTGACCAGCTTGCATTGTCGAACTGCGGGGAGCACCTCGACCCCCTCCCCCAGACCGACCCGCAGGTAGAAGGGAAGACAAGGGCCGAGGCGGGGCGCAGGGCCGTGGCGCGGGCATCCTACCTGAGCCCGCGATGCTGGTGAGCCTGCTCCGTTCCAGCGGAGGGGCCCACTTGGCCCAGATCGTAAACTGCCCCGTCCACGCCATGCCCTAAAACGAAAGTCATGGAGACCTCGCTCCCCCGGAGAACTCACCGGTCTGTTTCCCACGCGGGCGGGCAAAGTGTCTGGATACCTGGGCCATGCCCTGGGCTGTCCGAATCACGACCACCAAAGTCACCCCCAGGTCGGCAGCCAGTGGCGTGAAGAGGGTGAGGAGGGAGGAGATGAGCAGGCCCGCCCCCAGCACGCGCTTGGCCCCGACGATGCCGGCCAGGTACCCGCTCGGGATCAGCGTCAGGATGATCCCGTAGTTGATGGAGCTGAAGATGAGGCCCTGAGTCTCTGGGCTCCACTCGTACACGGAGGTCTGGAAAAACGCAGACAAAGGCGAGTCTCCGCCAAGACGCTCCTAGCGAGAGTCTGCTTCGCACCGGAGCGGCTCGGGCCCGTGGGACCCTGCCAGAAAGTATCGAGTTTGGGTTTTCTCCATCGTTTTCATCTAGTTTACGTATTTCACCTTTTCCAAACTGACAACCAGTGCCACCCGGCAAGCACTGCTCTCAGAGGAAGAAGAAACAGAGAAGATGAAGAAGGAGAGATAAATAACGACATGCTCGGGAGAGGAAAGACGTAAAGGAACGGACGCCGAGGGGCAGCCCGTCTGCGCGGGGGCCTCCTTGGACCCCGCTGCTTTCGCTGTGGTGGGGTGACACGCTGACCCTCGTTTCAGGGAATGAGGGGGACGCAACTCAACTGAGCTCTCGCTGAGGTCGGCCCCTAAAGCCAGGTTTGGGGAGGCGTCCGGGCAGAGCCGACTTCCTC